ATTATACTGCCTAACAGGCTGAAATGCTAAGTCAAAAGGGGCTCCCTGGCATAAGGAAGGAATGGGTTCCTATAATGCCATAGATAATTTGTGTGAAAATGCATCTCTACCGTCCAGCTTATGATCTTATGTTCTCAATATGAACAGCTCAACCCTGTCATACAGTAGACAGACACTCAAGTGGGCCTATGATTCGGCCCATGGTAAAACCAAAAGGAGGGACTGAGAGGATGACACAACCTCCACTTTGTCTCCATTTTAGGATCAGGTCTAATTTAAAAAGAAAAACTAGGCCATAGGTCACCAATTCCAAGAACAAGACTATAAAATTCCCTCACCCAAGAAACACCTTGAGGATAACCACAAGATTAGGAAGGTATCTTATCTCAGGGTGGGGCATCTGTGCTGGGGAGCCCATCGACCTTGTAGTAGAACATTCATGGCTCAGGAATATACCCAACATTCCTGAGGTCTATAGATAGCTCACTCAACGTTAGTTATGTTAGTTAGCCAATCACTTTGTAACAAGTTTGCCCTTGCTGAATGTCACCCAATCACATAACTGCTCAGCTGGAAATTCCCCGTCCTTGCTCAAACCCCAATAAAAACCCTGCCTTGCATTTGCTTGAGGCTCTCCTCTCTGATCCACTGTATTGGTGACCATGGAGAGATGGACTCACAAGAGCTCCCTGCCGTGCGATGACACACCTTTGCTTTAGCCCTTGCTCACTGTTGTCTGTGCGTTTCACTCATCACACTCTGAAACCCAGATGGCGAGCTGGCTTCTGGGGTTAGCTGCCCTGCTGCTCTGTTTTTATACATCTCTTTATTTATTCTTTGGCAATTTTATATGTGTAGACTATTATATTGATTATATCCGTCCTCAGTCCCCTCAACTCTCCCCAGACACCCCAACCACATACCCCTTCTACCTTTGTTTTTTTTTTTAACCCACTGAGTCCAATTAGTGCTCCCTGCTGGCACCTTGACTGAGCTAACAGCTGCAATGAGTTCGTGAGAGCAACAGCCCTGTCATACGTCCAGAAGAGAGCATTTCGCAGCTTCCCCACCCCCAGCCCTTTTCTCTTACATTTGTGGACCCAGTTCACCAAAAGTCAACTGAGACTGTGACTCTCAAGTTCATTTTCTGACGTCGATAACGATTAATGACATGGGCACACACACAGGAGCAAGAACGAGCAGATTTTGCTAAGGAAAAGTTAACATGAGAGAAATTCCTGAGAATAGGAGGGGTCCCAAGAAGAAAAAGCAAAGAGCCGCTTGCTTGGTGTGTGGTGGGGCGGGGGGTGGGGCTTTTCATGCAACTGATGACAAGAACTGGACAGAACTGGATGGGAGGAACTGAGCTCATTTTTCTTGAGATTGGTTAATTTCCTTGGCATATCAAGGGCCAAGCCAATGGTGTCCCAAATGCTCTTGGCATGCCCCCTTGGCCCAATTGGAGAGATAGATGATTACACGGTGTTGTCTCTAACAAAAATGCCTAAAACAAAATTAACAGCAGCTTGATTGACAGGCTCATTGTATCAGTGAGGCTCAAAAGGAAGTAACAGGGACACCCATGACACAGGGACTCAACTCTCTGGCTTGACCAGTGCTCAGCAGTGATGTGTCTTGGGAAACAAAGGCACGAGCTCATTAATGCCCTTAGTCTGAAGCAATACTCCAGTTACCATTCCAAAGTTGATCCTGTTAATTAGCACAAATAAGGCAGCCTTGGGCTCTTGGTGGCTACCAATCAGCAATCTTGGCAAGAAGCCAATTGACAAAATCGATTATTTTTATGAGGAAAACAGCAATAAATGTGTTTGGATGGCATCTAAGGTGCCCCGAATCAGCAGGAAGCTTGAGAAAAGGCTTGGGAAAGAAAGATAAGCTAAAAAAAAAAAAAAAAAAAAAAGCCACATGGAATCTAAGGCAGAACACAGACACCCCATCACCACCACCACCCCTTAGAGAAGGTCAGGCACTGTCACTGAGAATGTGTTCCAACACCCTTGGGCATTTCCATACTTGCTCCAGGTTTGGGAGCCCAAGTTGGAGCGGTCATTTACCCATTACCAGGACAAAGATGGCGAGGAGGCATCTCATTTGTTTTCACATAGGAAAAATGGGCCCAGCCTCTCTTAGTGACATCACGTGTCACTAAGAGGAGAGGAGAGCAGTGGTGGAACAGCTGTCGTGTGAAACAGACCCATCATACCCCGGAGCCCCAAGCATGAATGACCTTGCTTAGAATAGGCAGCTGCAAATCTTCAGTTTGAAAAACATTGAGTGTAGTGGAAATGTTAGATTCTTTATAAACTCAGTTATGTTATATGAACAGGTTTTTGTTTTAATCCCGAGTGTGGGGTATGCAGTTGTTTTTAGTTTGTCCACAGCTGAGAACAGCCTCATGTTGGCTTTGAGAGGGGCGTGGTCTTTGCCAGTTGGAGTTAGTTTAACTCTGAGGACTCTGAGAGGATATAAATACCAGTGCCCAGAGAGAGGAAGGTACTTCAAGGAGATGGATGGAGGAAGAAGGCGGCTGCTTATTCGTCCTTCTGTATTTGCTGTTTGCTGTTGCTAGACTGCTAGATACCCTGATGACTGACATTCATTGGTATTTTCCCAAAGAACCTGACAACCCTCACCAGCCAGAAATAAGTCTAAAAAGGGCTATATCCCCTGTCCCTTCTAACCTTTCTAACCTATGATCGGGAGGTTGGAAGGGAGGTAGAGGAATAAGTAACCCCAAATAAAATATAGTTTAAAAAGGATGCTACACTTGAGAGTTGAATGAGCGGGCACCGAGTGTCCTGAGAGAGGACCATGAAGGTTGGATTCAAATTCAAACACCTGGCTGCTGGTGTTCAGCCCTGCTCAGACACTCTGGAGTCTTGCCCCAACACAGGCTGTAGCTAGCACTGGCGAGCTGGGGTCACCAGCTAGAGGTGATCCTGATAAGCAGAGAGCATCTCCCCATCTTCTCTATCTGGAAGGGTCCTCTGCATTGTGTCCTGGATATCAGCAAAGGGTCTGGCTGGAGTTCAGCCCTCCAATAGGAATAGGTCTAGAGGTTAACAGAAACTTAGGGGAGAGATAATGGCACCAAAATGAGGCCAGAGTTAAAACAAAACAAAACAAACAAAACAAACAACCCTCCTGTCCCATGTGAATGCTCTCCTGAAAAGCTCTACTACCTAAGGAGCCCTTTTGTTGAGTGGTGGGTGAGACTGAGTCTCACTATGTAGCTCTGTCTGTCTTGAAATCCACTCTGTTGGCCAGGCTGGTCTCCAACTCAGAGATCCGCCTGCCTCTGCCTCTCAAGTGCTGGGATTACAGGTGTGTGCTACATGCCCAGCCCTATTAAACTCTTTATGCTCAGAGGAAGAACAAGCCTTTGTGGCCACCAGGCCTCTGCCCTCCCCAGTAGCCTGGTGTTTCCAAAGATGTTTTGGAACCACATGGCAGGGAGAGAGGCTGTGCTTATCCACATATCACGGCCCGCGCCCCACCAAGGCTGCTGCTTAGTGACTCTCAACCCCAGAAGTGACCACATGGGACACTACTGAAATGGCCAGAAGGGTATTCAGCATGGGTAAGCTGGGAGATGCCAGCTTGAAGACAGAGTGCCACCTTGTGGGACAGGCCTTTGTGGCGATCTCTGAAGCCACATGACCAGTAGAGTAACAATCCACAAGAGGCAAGAAAGGTGATTTGTCTCAGCACGACTAAGTAGCCAGGGTTGGTTCAAACTTCAGGAGTCTGACCCCGAAGCAGTTTATTTTAGGCATAGTTACACACAGCGCAGGTTGGTGAACACTTTCTTGGTGGTAAGAACTCAATAAAGCTTAAGACATGACTGCATCAGACTCTTTCTGTAACGTGACATCTTTCATAAAGATGGTTTCGACAGACGGACAAATTCACAGTAAGGGTCGGGGGGGCAGTGGAGGATCTGGTATGGTCTTGGGCACAAAGAAAGCACAGGAAATCACCAAACTGTTACAATTGCCTGCTTCCAACCTCATGGGCAGATAACAGGTTATCCCTTCCTTGTTGTTGAAGGAACAACCCTGATGCTAACATTCCTGGTCCCCCCACCCCCACCCCCATGCTCACCTGTGAGCGCAAGGACCTCTGTGTCTCCCGAAAGGCTGTGCTCCACACCTGAACAAGGCCATTGCCTCCTAGAAGGAATTGTGGATACAGCTGTTCGGAGGTTAGGATGAGCGTGAGTGCTCTCTAATCACAGGCCCTGAGCCATGTTCCAAGGTTTTGTTTTCCTTACCTGTGATTTTGGGATCACCAGGCTAGGAGGCCCCAGTTCCCTAGAATAGCTGGTTAATATTCATTGAACTAAAGTCTATGGAACACAAGATGGAAGAGAAAGATAAGCAGAGAGGTGGACTTGTCCACCACTCCCCAGCCCAACCCCCCACCCCAGCTGTGGCTCTGAGAAGGGGTATCTCTTAACCACAGGCTGACTGCCCTCAACACACCACAAAGTTTCACAAAGTTTCAGTTTGTTTTCACTCCCCTCTGTGCCACTCCCCAGCCCTAAACCAACCACTATTCCCAGCACTGTCTCCTGAGTGTCACTGGAATTTCACTGGTCCTCTAGGGTACCCTGGTCCCTTGACGACTGTTGTGCCCGCTCTGTCATCACCACCACCCCTGTTTCCACCACCCCTGTCATCCTAGGAAGTCTCTGCGGCTCCTCTACATACAGAACTCTCCCTCTGGCTTTCCCCATCCCCCATACTCTCTAGTCCCTTCTGGCCCCTTGTTTAAGCCTCTCATTGTTTTCTCTTTGCTCCAGTAGCTACCTGCATTGATCCTACAGTGGTCGGCCACAAAAAGGCCAAGCCCTGGCTAGAAAGGTGGCTCAGCAATTAAAAGCACTAGCTGTCCTGGTGAGGCAGCTGACAACCTCCTGTAACTCCAGCTCCAGGAGATCTGATGCCCTCTTCTGGCCTCTAAGGGCACCTACACCCAGATGCTCAGATACACACATACACATATAAATAAAACCACAACAAAGTTTTTGGAAAGAAGAAATGCCTAAGTCCTGAACACCATGGACTTAACCCCCTTTCGCAAAATGCCTCTGTCTCTATCCAAACACCTCCCTGGACTTCTACACTACTCCGGGAAAGGAAGGGTGTTACTGAGCTGAGCCTGACTGCAAACTGTCGTGGATCTGGATGAGCACTTGCAACTTCTCCTCCAGCTCCTGAGCCTGCTGCCTCAGCTCCTCAGCAGACTTTGCTTTGGCCCTCTTGTGCAGATGCTTGGACTCGTTTACAAGGTTGATCACATCTGAAATGAGGGACACACCTGCAATGGCTATACCCATGATCCAGGTTCTTCTGCTCATTGCCAGGGTGGTGCCCTGAAAGCCTTTCTTCACCTGCTTGCTGCTTTGGGCAGAGATGCTCCCCATGGTCATGAGGCGTTTGGCACTGGCTGCTAAGGCGGGGTTGGCTTTGGTGAGCTTGATGGCATAGATGCTCTGCTCAATGCATCGCAGGACTCGGTAGCAGTTCTCAGACAAGGAATAGATTTGGGATCCTGAGTGAGCCACGGCCCCTGCAACCATCTTCACTTTGGCCATGCTGGTTGACACTAGGTGGCTGGCTTCCGTTTTGGCTGATGACTCATTCACAGAGTCCACAATGCAAGTAGAGACACTAGTCACAGCTGCTGCTGCTCCCAGTCCCATCCCTGTTGCCAAGAGCACCAGACTGACCCCAGCTGTCACGGGTACCAGGGTGAGGCCAAGGAGGGTCAGGACCCCAGACACAGCACTGGTGGAGCCGGCCACCACCTTGGAGATGGTACAGTCTTTGTGAATCTTGTCAACCTTGTCTGCAAGGGCACGGAGCTTCCTGATGTGGGCCTCCAGCTCCATTTTCACCTGAGGAAACACATCCATAAACCTCTCCGTGTCCCGCAGGTCACGTTGGAGCCTATCCTGGTCTTCCACAGCCATGTTTTCTGTGAGTGAATTGAGGGCGTCCCGTAATTTACCTTCATCAGCTCTGTAATAGGTATCAAGTGATTAAGAGAGAGATAGTTTAACTAGAAATTTAGACCAATGGTAGAGTTCTTATGTAATACGTATGGGGCCCTCATTTCCATCCCCAAACAAACAAACAAACAAACAAAACAAAACAAATAAGCAGTTTGTTATAGGGCTCCATAACTTGTGGCTGCCCAGATGTCAGCATGCTTCCTTTGGCTCAGGAGGGGTTTTACAGACATACAGAATCTTTCTTTTGATGATGAACACGTGGCAATTATTAAGGGTCCTTTGTCAGTACAGGATAATGAGTAAGAAAATCAGAGGGGCTGAAGAACTGGCTCCCTAAATGAGTGTGCTTGGTGCACTTGGAGAGAACCGGAATCTGGAAAAGTCTTGTTTGTTGGTTTAAGATGCTCTTGCTCTTGCAGCTGGAAAGGTTGACTCAGCAGCTAAGAGCACTGTCTGCTCTTCCAGAGCTCGCAGGTGAGATGCCCAGTGCCCACGTGGGAGCTTACAATTGCCTGTAACTCCAGTTCTAGGAGCTCCAGTACCTTCTTCTGGCTTCTGTGGGCACCATGTCATGCAGGCATGACTCATACATATAAAATAAAAATAAATAAGTCCTTTAAAAAAAAGACTTTCTGTATGGGCAAGGATTAGCACAGTAGGTAAGGTGCTTGCCTAGCATGCATGAGGCCCTGGAGCCTAACACTGCATAAAAACATAAAAGCATAAAAGCAATACTGGAATTACACACCCGTAATTCCAGTACTTTGCAAGAGGATCAGAAGTTCAAGGTCAGCTTTGGTTATGTCTGAGTTCAAGGCCAAAGTGGAACACATCAGACCTTGTCAAACAAACACTCTAGTGTCAGGCATTTGATAAAGATGCCCTCTTACCAAGGGCATCACCGTGGCCATCAGCACATTTGTTGGGGGTGGGGAGAGCAAAGGGGAGGGGACGCTGCTGCTGAACACAGGCAAGCCGGAATGGAGCGTAAGTCACGCTTAATTTGTGGAATGTTGGCTAGTGTGTCATGAAGTGTCTTCCTTTTGCCTTTGGCTGCTGAGATACGCTCGGGAGGCCTGCCAGGACTATCTGCCTGTGGCGGGGGACATTGGCTGGAGGCTCATTGGAGCTGAAAAGCCCTGAGTGAATATTCTGAATGTGGAAGGCGCCGAAAAATGGAGTCTTCCAAGCCATGTCTTGATGCCACAGTGGAAAGTCCCATAGCGGACCTCAAGGGACAAGCCACACTGAAACACAAGGGCATGAAACAGAGCAACGAGGACCAGGGTTCGATTCTCAGCACCCACATGGCAACTCACGACTGTCTGTGACGCCAGTTCCAGGGGATCTGGCATCCTCACAGTTGTACATGCAGGAAAAACATTGATAATAAAAATAAATAAAGATAATGATAAAAATAAGCAAATCCTAAAGATAAACATAAACAAATCCTAAAAAGAATTAAAAAGAGCATGAAAAATTAAGATGTGTGCGAGGTGTGAAAAAAAAAAATCACAGTTTTATTTCATGTTGAGACTTGGATCTCATCCCCACAGTATATCACAGTTGAAAACATTTTAAAATCAGAAAAATCCAGGGTCCAAAACATTCTGTTCCCAGGCATGTCCTGGAGAGGGGACTCAGTCTTTGCCATGCGGCATGTGGTGGGGGCTCGGGTGTCATTTCTGACCCCTCAGGGACCTGGAGACTAAAGGTGTTGATCTCCAGGAGAGTGAGAAACCCCGGGTCTGCCTGAGGGACAGTGTGTGTCCCGCCTTTGGATGGCCCTCAGCTTCACTGGGAGCCTCTGGGACATTCAAGAAGCACAATTCTGGGTGTGTGTGGAGGGCACTGGTGTGTGAACAAGGACACTGGGTGGAGAGGAGACACCGGACGGTGAACGAGGCGGTACCCTCCACAGGTAGGAGAAGAGAACCCACAAACAGGACGGAAGTGCCTAACCGCAGCTGACCTGGACAGCTCAGCCTCAGCCACGAAGGCCTCCCAGGCTCCGTCTTCAGTCAGCAGCAGCCTCAGGTCTGCCCTGCTCAACGTGTGCTGCAGATACTCCTTGACTTCCTCGATGAAGTTTCTGCTCGCTACTTGGAAAGGAGAATGGGGTCAGAGGACAGAATGGAAAAGCCCAGAGTCAGCCCCCCGAGGCTGTACTGGTCCCACATGAGGAGGCAGGATGGGGAGGAGGTGAGTCCTAGCTGTACTCCCTAGGATGGGGCCAGGAAGAGACCCCTGGAGAGCTGGTGTTGGGAGAATACAGTAGTCCCCCTTGGGAGGGGACCCCCTTTCTGTCCTCAATTTCTCCACACTCAGTATGGAGGTCTAGGCCACAAGCAAGAAGCAGCCAGGGGGATGTAACTACCTGGGGTGTCCTCGCGGTCTGATGGGTCCATGGTGTCCTCGCGGTCTGATGGGTCCATGGTGTCAAATGCAGGGTCTCTGGTCCAAGCTGCAGGGAGGAGGAAACAGAGTGTGTGGTGGGGGAAGTGGGAAAGGCGGGGAAACAGCCTCAAGGAAGACAAACAGCTAAGGGCTGCAAGCCACAGCCCCTTCCACAGTGTCTGCCAAGGACCAGACGGTATCCAGAGTGTTTCTCCTCCCTGGCCTCCGCAGAAACCAGCTAGTCATTTGGCTCTAACTGTCCACCCTGAGTCCGCCTCTCCAGCCAAGGCAAAGGCCTCCTGTCCCATTAGGACCAACCCATGATGCACCTGTGGGAAATAATTGAATTTGTATACAGAAGGCAAAAGGAGGAGGGGTGTTCTGGCAGTTGTCTGAGGAAAGGAACACATGGGAGGGAATGATAGGAACGGGTGTTTACCATCTGGGATGCACAGGGATCCTTAGATATACACCTCATTAGGTGATCACACACACAGACCATGAGATGAGGAGCACAGTGGCCCCATCTTAATGTAGAAGAAGGCTAGCCACCATCCCCAGTCTTCGAAACGGTTAGAGCCAGCACATGAACCCAAACCATTCTGAGCCACGTCTCAAGCTCTGGTAACTGAGCGTGGGTCTCTTAAACATTCAACAGGATGCCCTCCGTATGCAGTGTATTGCAAATGGCTTCCCATCCACAGTGATGCTGTGTCCTTCAGGGTACAAATTCACCAGCACCCAGGGCCCTCCCAAGGCCCTCACACTCTTCGCTTCTGCAGGATCCGGCATCTAACCGGGCCTAGAATCCTGCTGCATCCTGTCTCTTTTACTGTACATGCTCTGTGCTGCCCATCTGCCAACCACTGAACCTCATGTCATAGCCAATGCTTTGTGTAAATAGTATGGTGCAAAGAACATTCTCCTTGCATAGAACTTTGCCTGCATTTCAGCTTTTTTCCCCCCTCAAGATCTGTCTAGAGCTCTGGCAAAATGGTTAAGGGTGCTTGTGGCTGAGGCTGATGGACCAGAGTTCAATCCCAGTCCCACACAGGGAAAAGAGGGAGCTGACTCCCATAAGTGGTCCTTTGGCTTACACACACACACACACACACACACTACATATATGCATATTTGAAAAATAAGTCTAGGCTGCTGTGGTGACACATGCCTTTAATCCCAGCATTCTAGAGGCAGAGGCAAGTGGATCCCTTTAAGTTTAAGGCCAGCCTGGTCTACATAGCAAGTTTCAAGCCAGCCAGGGCTACACAGTAAGAACCTATTTCCAAAAACAAAACAAAACTAAAACTAAAAAGAAAAGTAATTTAAAAAAAATAAGAAGAAACTTACTTCCTAGGCAGAAAGCTAAAGTTAAAAGCAGTTCCATTCCACCAAGGGCGGCATGGCTGAGCACTCAGTGAGAATCACTTTTTAGGGTATTTTCCAGGCGCAAAAAGGCCTGGCAGAAACAGTGAGCATCCTGCACCCGGTGAGATGAATCCTGGCACTCCCTGCCCTTTCGGTGTGTCTGTCCCTTTTCTACCTTCTCCTTCAGACTCGATCCTGCTCTGCTCTGCATGTACACTTGGTGCACTGAGGCACATTTGGTCCAGCACTCCATCCCAGGGTTAACTTCCACAGGGCTAATTTAACTTGCCTAGTTCCCCCACCACCTCTTTGGAGCTGTCACAGGCTCCTACCAGCTGCCACGACAGAAAACCCCTATTCCTGCCAGAAGCAACAAAAAGAGGAGGCCCTAGAGTTCCTAGTGTTTCTCAGTAGGTTCTCAGAAGGTTCATTAATATTCTTCACCTTCATAACCAGATAAAGACTCCTCCCTTCTTGGTTATTCTTGTTTTTTCTGTGACGACTCAGTCTCCCTGAGCAGAGAAATTGATATGCAAGGAAAGGCCCCATTCTCCATTCTTTGGCCCCTCCGTAAAGCCTTGCACTAACCTCGTTGTATGATGCAGCTGGGTGCTAATGTGGGCACGGTGGACCTCTTGACAGGGGCTGTGACTCAGTTCATAGGAAAAACAGAGGCCACACTGGGGGAAGTGGAGATGGAGTTGGCCCTGCCCTTCTCCTGGCCAGATGTGCTGCCCTGATAGGAGCCCTCTTCTCCCCAGCTGGAGCCTGAGCAGAGTCTAGCAAAGCCCTGCCTGTCCAGCAACTTCAGGGCATCCTCCTTGGGCAGGGAAGGAAGGAGTGAAGACAGCCTGCTCCTTTTAAGGAGCCCTTGATGACTTCTCAAGGTCAAGTTGAAACTCCTTTTAGTCAGCGCTCCAGTTCTCAAGCCTGCTGCGGCCCTCCCTTCCTCCCAACCATACACCTTCAATGCCAGCCTGCCTCAATGACCATGACATCTCCATGTCTTTGCCACGGCTGACCCTGTAGTGCCTGTTGTTCCTGCTCCCTCACCTTCCCGCAGTCCCCATGGCACCTGGCTCCTGATGTCTCCAGCTCCCACTACAGAGACTCCAAACCCAGCCCACAGGTGGGCAGTGGCCACTGGGGGTCAACAGCACAGGTGACCAAGCCATCTATTAAAAACACAGGTTCACAGTGGAGGCCAGCACTGGCCCATTCACGCAGAGACTGAAGCACTAAGTGTGACCTTAAAAAGCCACATTAGTGGCACAAACCTAGAATCCTGGCACTCCAGAGGCCAGGTGAAAAGATGACGAGTTTAAAGCCAGAGTAGGCTACACGGGAAGTTCCAGGCCAGTCTGGGATTCCTAGGCAGATGCTGTCTCAAAAAAACAAGAAAACAAACAAACAAAAAAGCTTTATGTTGGCCCGGAAAGCCTCTCTTCACATTCACAGTCTCTCCCCCCACACCCATGGTCTACCCAGTGAGCTTAGATTACAGAGCTGGGATGGCTCTGTGGATAATGTTTGGCAGTGTGCCCCTCCAGTCCTACAACCTTGCCTCCTTCCTATCCAGATGCCCAGAACAGCTTCTGCCTCCATCCGCCACGTAGTGATGCCAAGACTCAGAGGAGATGCTGGCCTGTGGTCAGCTGACCAGTCTAGAACCCTTGGCAACTCACCCTACTATTGGGCCCTCAGTTTCCCCCACAGAACCTGAAACAGAGTAGATGCTCAAGAAGAGGACCGAATGTTAGCTCTCTGGGCCCTTTGTACCTCAGGAGTCAGACTCTGTCCCTGTCAGACAAGATTCAAACTGAGATAGACAAACATTCTGACATATGAAACTTGTCATTCCTCATTTCTGCCTATGGTTATTTGGGGGTCATTTTTTTTTCCTCTATAATTTCCCTTCCATCAAGTCTTCCCCCTTAACCAGGTTTGACATTAATATTAACTCAACAGCTAAATAAAACTACTTCAGGGTACAGAACCAGGTAAATGCATATATGAGCAGTGAGCCAGCAGTGGTGGGGACCTTCTGATCAGAGTGTGGAAGAGAGAGAGCTGAACATGGTCCCTCAAACTGTCTTGGGTGAAGCAGCCTGGACTGGACTGCAGACTCACTTGGCAGGTTAGGGCATAGAGATCTTGAACCTCAGAAACTCCCGGACATCTGAAGATCTGCTTACACCACAGCTCAGTTTGACGGGTGACACCCAAAGCAAGTCTCCCAGGATGTCCGCAGCCAGCACAAGGACCGGCATCTCAGCCCAGATCTTTGGCAATGACAGCCCTTGGGATCCTAACTGCAAAGGAAACAACCCTGAAACTGCAGAGCGAGTCAGGCAGAATACAGCACCACCTAGTGGAGGGTGGAGGGATCGGCAGCCAAAGCACCTGGCTGCCCTGGTCACCCCCACCCCAGCACACACTGCGGGGGACCCTAGGCTCAGACAAGCTGGATGCTACACAGGATGCCCCTGAGAATGCAGGAGAGGGCAGGGCTCGTCCAACTGAGCACGTGACACTGGGTGTCACCTCAGACAAACCTGCCAAGGACTGCAAAACACAGAAAAGGGAACCACATCCCTCACCGACAGCCCTAGATGACAGCCTGGGAGGGCAGCCGTTTGCTCCCAGCCTCTGAAGCCTGCCCACCGACCTCACTCAGAGGACGGTCTCGTCTTTGTTCAGATGGGACATCACGTCTCCGAAGATATTGGCTTCAAGGTTTAGAGCTAAGTATAAAGACGACAGGATCTAAGTCGCGGTTACCAAGCTTTCGTGGTGCGACGCAGGTAACGCTGCCCTCGGTTTGATGCGTCAGACACATCGGCTGAGCGAACACAGCAGCCTTGGGATTCTGATTTCGAACAGGACGAGTAACTGACTCAAGAGGCTGGAGTTCTCAAAACTCTGCTGAGTGCTGAGGGCATGGTTGCTGAGCTCTAACCGGAGAGGATCCAGCTTCAAGTTTAGCAGTTTCCCAGATAGGAGGTGGGAGGGGCCTGGGAGCCACCCCGCTAGGCAGGTCTGCAGTAGTGCTCAGGGTGTCACCAAGGAGGGCTGGCTGATGCCACTGTCGTGTTACAGCATGGCCTGGAGAGTCCTAGCACCTGGCTGCTATAGGCAGAATGGAGGCTGCAGTGGGATGTAGCTGGTCTTGGCTACTTTGTGGATTCCTCTTTCCCCCACCTTTTATCCTCCCTGGTTTTATCCCGTCACTAGATAGGAAATGAGGATAGAGATCTCTGAATGTAATTCCTTCCCTTTCATTTCTTCTTTGAGCATGACTACTAAAAAGCTGCACCCAAGGCCCCTGAATGCCCAACAACCTCCAACCCTACCTCTCAGAGACCTAGCATTTATGTACCCTCTGAAAAGTTCCCAGAATTCTACACAATCACAGAAACTATCTGCAGCTGGCAGAAACATGTCTTTGCCAGAGCACAAGGCAACTCATAATCCACTGCTATGAACAGTAAGGAGCAGTCCCATATCCCCATACCTGAGATTAAAACAAAAACGTCAGAATTTTCACTACCATGGGATGATGATAGAGCCTCTAAACTAAGAACCTAGTATTCCTTGTGTGGACTTTAAAGTGAATGCCAACTGCCCTTTTAACAGGCACACAAGAGAGGCTGGCAAGATGGCTCAGTGAGAGAAGACGTACACACACACAGATGGAGCAGTGGAGACCGACAAACAGAGACAGAGAGTCTAATTTTTTTAAGTTTTCAGGGCCTACAAAGATGGCTCAGTGGCTTCAAGTACTTGTCTTGCAGAGGGCTGGCATGCAATTCCCAGCACCCACATGGCGGCTGACAACCATGTGACTCCAGATCCAGGGGCAATCTGATGCCTTCTTCCGACCACCGTGGCACCAGACATGCAAGCGAAACACAAGCATGCCCAAGACAAATCATTCATACATACACGTACAACATCATTTTTTTTTTTTTTCGAGATAAGGTTTCTCTGTGTAGCCTTGGCTGTCCTGGACTTTGTAGACCAGGCTGGCCTCAAACTCAGAGCAGTGCCTGCCTCTGCCTCTCTGAGTGCTGGGATTAAAGGATATTTTATCTTTTAAAAAAAAATTCTTTTTTTGAAGCAGGCCGCGTGAAGACAAAACAGATACTGGAATGGCGCTGCTACAAGCCACAGAATATGTGGACCAACCAGACTCTCCCTGGAGCCGACACCTTGGCTTTGAACTTGAGAGCAGCTCTGTTGTAAGCTACCTGGCACGAGATAATGCTATGGTAACCCCAGGAAAGGAAGAACCAACATGGGCTATTCTGGGAGTACAACTTCCCACTTCGTCCAGCCTGGACACCCTTGAAGGTCCCACCTGAACCCTCTGGAGGGCTGGCGGCACCCTCCGCCATGGTTAAGAACGTACACTCTCAGAGGGCAGGAGAGAGTGCTCGAGAGGCTAAGAGTACCGGAGAACACCGAGGTTCTATTCGCAATCGAACAGCACACAGCTGCCATGAACTCCAGTGTCAGGGAATCTGATGATCTCTTCTGACCTCCATGAAGACCAGCTACATACGTGGTAAACAGATACACATGCAGGCAATAAAATTCATACAATAAAATTAAAAACAAAACAAAAAAAAAAGGTTATGTCAGATGTGTGGCCAGGCTGGGGCTCCACACAGAGCTGCTGGCTCAGCCAGGCCAGCTCTCACCCGCCAAAAACTTCCTTCACAGAACTTGACAGGCGAAATCAACACTCCACTCACAGTGGAGGGTTGGAGAGCTGATCTTGTGAACAAGCATGAAGCCCAAGATTCCAAGCCCAATGCTGCAAATAAATACAAATAACAAGTAAAGGCAGAACATGAAGAGCTGCGTTTAGTAACGAGCCGGTGACTTGTGAAAATAGCAGGGAGGAGCGTAAAAAGCCTCTTGTAAATCCAGCAGGATCCAGGCTGCTCTTGGGCGTGGCCATCAGAACTCGATGGTCTGAGGGAGTGTCTCCCAGGCTTTCCCGTTTCTCCACGGCGGCACTGTTGATCTGACACATTCTGGGTTCTTATAGCTTTCTTTCCTGTAGCATGGATACTGAGTGCTGGGCGCACAGCACTCCTCCCTGGAGACTTCTGCTCGCCACCCACTCCTCCCCCTTTCTGCCTCTAGAGCTGCAGCACCTCAGTCCAGAATCTCGGTGACCCTGGCATGTGGAAGGAGAGGGGTGCCTGAGCCAGCCCAGGCCCATGGCTGCCCAGCCTCTTAGCCCGTGTGGAGGGTGGTCGCCCCTGATGTCTAGGGCTGTGAGCCCCTGACGCTGCCTGGGATTTCTCAGAGCCCTCTTGGTCAAATTGCTAACTAAACAGGCCCAACTGCGGCTGGCCCAGCCCTTCCAGGCCCTCTTCTGCTGTGGACAGACACCCAGACACCAGAGAGAAGGACATAGTACTTTTTATTGTGACGCTCAGTGGAAACATCTGTAAACCAGCTTACTGTGGTGGTGACAGCTGCGACACATGCTAAGGCACTTTTATTATATAAAAAAAGGGGTGTGAGTCCCACTCACTCCTTTGTGGCAGCAACTGGAACCTGAATTCAGAGCTTTTCTGGCATATGTAACTTCATGATTTGAATGTTTTGTTTTTCCTTTAAAAAAAAAAAGAGCCTTCTTGCCATAAGGGAGTCTAAATGCAAATACAGCATTTACAAAACAGTGAGGCGCACAGGGAAATTCAGTGACCAGTGTAGACCGTTGTGGGACAGGCTACTCTTTTCTAAACATGGTTCCATGGCAAAGGCAGCATAAACACCCAGAACTGTAGCACTTACTACAAGAAGGGGGAAAAAAAAAAAAAAAAGAAACCTTTTTTCTCTCTCTCAAAAGCATCCATGTAGAAGGCAGCTCTGAAGCTGTGGAGTGGGCTGCGCAGCTCAGCCACCCTCGGCCCCAGTCCTAGGAGAGGCACAAGAGCACACAGTGGGCCCAGCCCTTTGCTATTCTGGCTGCCAGGCCTGCGAGTCCCTTAACCATTAAATACATTTGGTCCCCTAGAGTGCTGGGAGAAGCCACCGGAGGACTGTTGGCCTTTCCAGAGTGGCCCTGATGCCCTGTCTGGTTTGCTTCGGTGCCAGGGCAGTCTGCCCTCGGCAGGGGAGGGGCACTGCACTGAGACATTTTGCAGAAGGAGCACAGGCACCAGTGATACATAGAAGGGAGTGGGGGAGTTCCCAGAGCACCCCATGCTCTGCACCCAGCACAGAGGCGCAAGCCCTAAACTGCTCCTTCTGGACCAGGAAAGGCCCAGGGAAGGGGGCCACAGGGCAGGCGTGAGGTCACCATGTGTGATTGCCAACAGCAGAGGAAGGAGTGGGGAGAACTGGCAGCAAAGGTAGGGGAAGTAGACGGTACTTCTAGAGCGCCTGAGCTATCAAAATCTTTATCTGACGAAAAAAATAGATTCATAGAAAACTCTCGTGCCCGCTCCCATGGCCGTCCTCTTTGCCCACCAGCTGTGTTTTTTTCAGCAAGTGGGGTAAGACCTCGCCGGTCATCCGGCTTGAGCCAGCCTGAACTCTTTGGTATCAGATTCTTGAAGGGTATGGAGGACTGAAAGGGCTGCAGCAGAGGAAGCCAATGCCCTCAGTAAGGCGTGGGAGGAGGGGGTATGGTCAGAGCAGTTTCGAGGTGGGAATGTGGAGGGCTGGGGAGGGGAGGTGGAACCGTCTGTCCATCTGTCTTGAGCATCAGGAGAAGATCCTATTCAGCTGCCTTGGCCTCAGCCCCATCTGCTTTACCGTCGACCTCCTCATCTGAGCAGTCGCCAGTGCCTTTCCGGACAATCCGGCGGCTCACGACAAATGGCAGGTCCCCACGCCTGTGGACAGAGACAGAGGATCAGTAAGGCCAGCTAAGGAGGGATGGGCAGCCCAGTATGTAGATTTTAGAGGGACCAAGGCCAGGACGACCTCTGCCAGGGGAAGTGAGCCATCGGAGCAATGGCAAGCTTCCACCTCCCAGTTGTCTTTACTGCACACCACCAGCAGGGGGCAAGTGAGCGGAGGCAGGTGGAGCTGTCTTCTGCAGCAGGCCGGTGCTCAAGCCTCAAACAGGCAGAGTGAGTTCCGAGCAGCTCAGGGGCAGAACACATGGCCCCCAAGTTCCATCCCAGCGACATAAAACAAAACAAGT